CTTTACCATGCTCTGACGATGACAACTCGACTCTGAATCATAACTCAGGATTGCAAGGCGTCGAACATCAGCAAAAAATATAATCTGGATATCGGTGATCGGCAAGAATCCAAACTACATGGATCGAGAAGGGTGTCCGTGAGAAACAGGGAGAGAGCATCCCACAACGAACGAGAATCACGATTCACTGCGAGTAACAGATCGTAAATGCGGTCTGGATGTGGCGATAGGGGATGATTCAGTCGACACACTAGGTTGAGGAATGAGCTCCATAGGCAGGTCCCGCCTGACCAACATTGATTCAATATCAGTCCAACACCGAGAGAACACTGATAGAGCATAAACCAGATGGTAAACCCTAAAGTTGGCAGAGGTGATGAGTGAATTAGTAGAGCCCGCCCTAGCTGCCCTAACCAGCTCGCCACGCTTCAGGAGGAACTCATCCAAACACTTCTGCATACCCACGTTAACATCATCTGCTACTGCCTGTATATTGCCGCCGCCTGTATTATCCCAAGTACTACCTTGTAACACCGCAAGAAGCCGTTGAGTCGCTGCTCTGAGAGTATTCGCATAATCTGTTAGTGTCGATAAAAGTGGTGACTCCTTCGCCACGTCAATGTCCTCATCTTCGAGTGCGTATGATATGAGTGCATTTTGCAACAGCAAACCAGATTGCACAAGCTCGATGATTCTAGCCGAATTAGCTACAACAAGTTTGGACAAGTGTGGCACGAGACGCGAGTTACCCAATACTGTTCTCTCAATGTTAGCCTCCAACTTGAAAGACATCATAGCTCGCCAAAGGACGAACAAATCATGCCCAAATTCGTCACGAGCATCAACCACATCGGTATTGGACTTTACTCCACTCCTTACCTCTACCAACTGAAGCATGGCTTTCAGAACACCTGTCGACATATCTTCGATAGATCGGGCTGAGCTGAGCCTCATATGATCACATGCATAATCGGGCAAAACTGTGCCCGATACAATTGATGCATATATTGCACCAGCTGTTGTAAGACCCATTCTCCAACAGGCAGCTAACAATAACACATGATCGCTCATATCAGAACCCAAGGTCAATGCCATACATACGACATACCAACCCAGAATAAACATTCGACCACCATAGCCAATATTAGGATAAAGACTAGACAGTTTACCAATAAAGGTAACTATCCACATCTCCACGAATAGAGCAACTCTATTACGATGATTCACTGCTAGACAAATAAGAGCAATAGAACACCCTACGATAGTACCACCAGCACGCCATGTACCACGAAGTATTGACCCACCAGTGGTAGGATAGAAACATAGCCAACAAGGGAGGATACCCCAAAAGCCATGTTGCAATACCATCTCGTTGTACCAGCCCCCTACTACCAACACTACTGCTGCTATAGTTGAACAGATGCTCATACGCAGGCTGAACTTCAACCGCGACTTCAGACTCTGGTCACCCTCTATACTCGAGAAGAATGGGCGTTTCCACCAATTCACCCAGAATGCCTTGAACTTACCGGGCAATGCGGCGATTTCCGATGATAATTCGGTCTGAATAATGATAAAACAGATTGACACGAGAATAGAGGCTCGACCTCGCAGTTCCCACTCACATCATCAAGCTTCTGCTTCTCTGCGCTACATATTGCTTTACGGAATTCTCCGGCACGTATAGCAAAATACATCATAGACCCGAACATGAACTGCAGTCGCATCAATTCTTCTGTACTAACCTTTTCACCAGCATCATTAAATGCCTTCCTATCAACCTCCAACAAGTGTAACTCTACTTCCCGGGACCGTGCTCTAAGATCTATATCGCGCTCTTGAGCACTTCCGAGCCCTCGTAAAACCAAGCCAACATCTGACCTTAATTGCACAAGGTCGGCAGCTAAAGGATTCCAGTACAACCTGTTCATGCTATCCGTAAAGGGACCAGAGAATATGGCTGATCGGAGGGAGAAGAGGAAGCCAGCCATGCTCCAAGCTGGACTACCAATATGGGGTGGTATTTGGGTATTGGATAGCTGCATGCATGCATGAAGGAAGTCTTGGTATGCGTCGTTGATCATATCCTTTTGTTTGGTACCAGTACACGTATAGGACAGTAGTACGTCATAGAAATTGGCTGCTGAGTATGCGAATTGGTCAATCGCAGATGGTCCTGCATGAGGCAACATATTGAATATCTTAAGTATTGTTAATAGTGTAAAGGTAACAGATATACCATAAGTGCCTGCAACAGCTATACCCATACCTTCACGATAGGCTTTAACGAAGTAGAATGTTGAGGTGAAGTTAGATATAACCAATGCTGGCTCACCCGCTATAATAGCGTTAAGTTTACACCCTCCATGAGTATGTATAAGGCAATAAAAGAATGTAAAAGGGTACTGGAATAGTACCGCCCAAAGTCTATTATCACCAATGCTAGTAGCTATTAGATGGACCAAGGCACCGGTAGCCCATGCAAACCATGCTGTGGTGATAGTAACTCTCCAGAATGTAAATGACCATTGGTAATTGAAATCCGCGTCGAACATTGCCCACATCGGGGCGATAATCTGATAAAATACTATGTTATAGCTCACATAGGGATATAGACAAACAGATGGGCTTACTAGAGGGAATAGATACCATGCTCCTGATGGTGATGCATACAAGGGAATGTATGCTATCGATACTGGTATGAGGGTAAAGAGTGCTATAAGCAGCTTGTAGACAGGGACTGATCGAGGTGTGTAAGGGATAGTCATAGTGTATGAATAATCCACACTAAAAGTGAACACAACAGATTAAATTACCAGGTTGTTATTATTACACTATAGAGCCCACTTAAGGCTGAATACCACCCCAAATGGATATCATCGCTTCTACAGCGAAAATGATACCTAGTCCCACCGGTGTACCACTCATATCATGGATATGATATCGGATATCAGATATCCGTAATATTCATCGAGGAGGGCTTGCAATAGGAGTATAGCAAACCTTCACTGTTAAACTGGATAACGCGAAAAGACGAGGCTTGAAACTAGTTGTAACTTAGGTCTGGTAGTAGATCCACAAACCACTACCAGTACACTATTCGTCATATGAGTATTGTCATCCACTGACATCTTTCAAGTTGCCAATGATGATAATCCTTTATGACGAGGATAATGTAGGAAAAGCAACAGTGGCAGCACCAGCAGCATGAGCAGATCTACAAGAAACTTGAGGAGCTTGATTGCTGCTCCTGGTCTAGAGAACTCTGCAAATTCTGTGCCATCTCCGCAGAGGCCTTGGTAACGATAGAATAGGACTCAAACCTGTAGACAGAACATAGAGGTATGGGATGATGAGAGCAGCAGCGGTGGCGGTAGCCACTTGAACATTACATTCGATCCATACACTTAGCCAAGCATATCTGCTCATTCTTACCCAACTGGTCAACGAAGCGTCCGTTCTTAGCGATGCACTTATCGAAACAAGTCTTGCGGGTTTGCTGAGGAGATATGACAATAGTGGACAATAGGACAAAGCATTATGACGACGCACTCCCTGGAGCATTTGTACAACCATTGCATTGATTCCTTGTACAAGGGCCTGCTGCTGTTCCTCAGGGGTAGCATGCTCACTACTGCTGGGAGACGATGATGATGATGAGAAATCCATTAGGGTTATCAAATGGGATGCACTCTAGCTACTATGAATAATAGGACGTACAGGATATACCCAAGAACAAAAAGTGCTGTATCGGGGTTTGATACGGGATTCACCGATATCGTACCACGCAGTGAATGTTAGTTCATGAGTTTTCTGATGACCATTGAAGACGCTTAGAATGCAGAGTGAGTAGTACCCTACTCAAAGCTGGACCAAGTGAGAATCATCTAATAGTAGGAGTTATAACTCTTCAGGGTTCTCAACCTAACATGATCTCCTCCCGGCTCACCTTACTACTACTATTATTACCATATTCCCATATGCATCGTAAACAGGTGGTTTGTCTGTTAGTTGGTGTACAGCATTCTCCTTAAGGAACCTACCACAACAGCTTACTCTCTATGTACATAGGTCCCAACACACTCAATGAACCGATCTACCGTCCGGGGACCATGGAATGCTACCGGCGCATGTTTCCTCCCTAACAAGGAACCTAGTGGGGGACAAGTGTAGCATTGGTACATTACCCGCTGGGTAGAGCGCAATGGTCGGGAAAACATCTACTCTGAAAGGCAGCTCATTCTGTGTTGCATCAACCTTCACAATCTTCAACCTGATGAGAGGTTATCATTGTAGCCAGCCTGATGATGGAGCTGGTTGCTCACGTTGAGCTTAGATGCTTCACCTTCTCCCCAAGAGATGAGTATATTCCGCTTAGTTGACGACAATGACCACACCATGGTGCGAAATAGTTTACCAGGACATCATGCTCATCATTCATTACGATATCCTCGAAGTTATCAGATACAACCTGAATATTGGTGAATACTCAAGGTAGAGATTCAATTGTTGTGATGAGATACAGTAGTAGATGACGATGATCTGACCACCTGTAGAACTCCTTCATTCCCTGAGTATTGTGGTATGGGCTCAGAACGCCTATATGGACTAAGTCCACCCTCATCAAACTGCTTGATAAAGCTTCGTACGTAGTCCTTACTCAATTTACTTCTCATTGAATAGGCTGATGTTAGAGACCGTACTACTATAACGGAAGTCTCATCATCATCCACTCGTACCATCCTCCTTGGACTTGAACTTTGAGATACTTCCATCAAAGAATGACACGTGACTTGATTCTCGTGCTGGATGATATAATATACGAACGATAGGATTCTCCTGGGCATCTCTCTAATGGTAAACAGAGTTGACATAATATGGTTTACAACAACCTTACAGGATCAACACCAAGCTCATTCAATAAATTATCTATATGGTGTCCACCAGATATATCACACACCGAGAAAAGTAAACTTCCTAAAAGACGATAGATAGTGGCGGTGGTGGTGGTGGTATGAGGTAGGAGTGATTACCAAGAAAGTCCTTAGCAAGCTCTCTAAGGTTAACCTCGGCTTCCTTACCCGCCTGGGTATCCTTATCTCGGATGAGGTACAGTACTGGCATACCACTAGATAGTAACTAGCAACGAATAATGCTGATGGTCAGCTATGATGATATAAATAATGTAGGTACTGTCTCAGCCCCTTCTGAGGTGTATTCGGTGATCAGTGGGACCCTCCTTGATAGGATGAAGTTGTCAACCTGGATACAAATCCAATGAAGGAGTTAGATAGTACAGGGGATATTAGTATCATATAAGGGGATCGACAGTCCAGCCACAAGCAAACGATGGGAACGTCAAACGTGTACCTTGCGATAATCCAACTCCCCTTGATAGATGGCATGATGATCATCATGGAGGTAGAGTAGGATGATGGCAGGGAATCCAGCCGGTCTACTGCTTATTTTACTGACAATACACCGATGGTCCCAGTGAGAGTAGTTACTTACCGTCTGTTGTATAGATGATCCACGATGTCCTCAGCTACCTGACCATATGCTATAGCGAAGAACACATCATCAAAGTGTCGCGTACAGTGTTTGAAACTACATACATAATGATGTACTTACAGTGTACCGTTGTGTGCACTTACAATTCCCCATCTCGTTCATCATTAAAGAGGCCAATAGCAAGGAGAGGATTATTCTCGGCAAACTTCTCAAAGTCTCCTACGGACTCCATCACATGATCCTTATGAATAAAACGATTAACCCAATTAACGACTTTTGCAGCGCTGAGGGAAGGAGCACTCAAGAGAGGTGAAATGACAGCTAGTGGTAGTATCGCAGCATGCTACTATTACTACTACCATTTAGGATCACCAACATGCATCTCGGTGAGAGGTAGTTGATGCTCTTGACTATCGATGAACAACTTCACTGTTGGATAGTACGGTATCTGGTGCTTCAAGATAGCCTGATATCATAAGCATTGCCTGATGCACGTAGAACAGATGTGATTACATTAGGGTATTGTATACCATCGATCATACCAAACCTCATTGGGGGATCATGCATGGCAAGCTTCTCGACAGCATTATCGAAAAAAGGTTTGAACTAAGCATCGAGATGATACAACTGAGTAGATCTAATAATATACTCACACTTCGACAATATGGGCAACCAGGTGCATAGAACATAACCAATGATAATCCACTCTTAGGGATATCATTATCCAGGTCTGACTCACTAAGCTGTCTTATCGTCTGGGGGATAAGACAAAAATGGATGAATGTAGTAAGAGATGACTGCCATTACTCCCTTTCCAGAATCCCCCCAGAGGGACCAAGCCCTCACACTGTGTTGTGCACTTAGCTGTAGGAGGAGAAGAAGGAAAGTGGACGATATGATGGACATTGTGATGGGGATAGAAAACCTTGGCGAGGAAGATATTGATCACTGCTAGCCTCGTAACATCGTAATAATGTTCCTCGAAACCGTGCAGTACACCTATAAATACACTGTAATAATGTAGTCCCAAAAGCTAAATAAATGTCCTTACTTATGTATGTGGAAACTTTCTACTAAAATGTATGGCGGTCACTCTCTTCGCTGAATAGATTTCGTAACGGTACAGTTTGCCATGTAATCGTAATGCTACCTTTACCATATCAATACCCCCAGTGTGGGCATAAACAAGGGAAGTAGGATAGTGGTCTTCCCAAGTACTACCATTCTTCTCACATCGGGTACAGTCCATACAAGCTGTATTGCAAGTTCATGATCTAGTAGTATAGGTGACTGGTCCTCAACAATGAGTGGTTACTGAGATACCATCTACCATACACATATCATCACAATGAGTAGATAACCCGATGTATGACCTAACCCGAGTACCCATCACCATTAGCATACAAATACATGCCCTATCTATCATTAACCTCAAGAGATAATGCATGACAGTATTCAACCATCGCATAAGTGTAACTAATCACCTACACCACATCTAGCTACTTACCTATGATACCTAGCACAACTGATATACACTTCAGAAGTCTCATTAACATCAGGCTCACATGATATACAGAATTGTGGCGTCTTGGCATGTATGCAATGATAGTATCCAAGTAGGACTGTATATTACACGGCGTCCCATCATCACATGTACAGCATCTCTTTGAAGGCTGCTTTTATACCATCCCCCCAACCTCTGCATTCAGGCATTTGCCGCTCATCGCACACTCCATTCCGTTTGCTGGACCACCGACGAAACGTATTCAGCGCGCGCCCGAAAATTGTATACGCTTCAGTAGACGCAAGGTGTGAGCTTCTCCTCCTTCGTCCAGGAGCACTATGTGATAGAACACTCGTGATATATCATGGTATTTAATAGTTACTACCTGTTTCCTACATTTTATCCATCTCATCAACTAGATGCTTCGTTGGCTGAAGGCTGATAATGAGCGTTCTAAGAAGACAGAAACCTTCCGTAACATATCAGATGGATTGGAACAAATCTACAGGGATAAGTTGCTTCCTATAGAGGAATACTATGAGTAAGTATTATTGTCATGATAGTGACAGTCACCTGTCACCACCACTACCACCTCAGCTTCCATCGCTTCTATTCGGCTCCTCTTACTCCTGCTGACTTTACTGCTAAGCCTATGGTGATGCTTATAGGACAGTAATAACATCTATTGGGTTGGAGGGTGATGATAGTTATCATGACAGATATTCCACTGGTAAGACTACATTCATAAGACATCTCCTAGAGAGGGATTATCCTGGTATGAGGATTGGACCAGAGCCCACTACCGACAAGTAATCCGACGTAATGTGTTCATACATTGGCTCATACCGTCGATGATCCTAGGTTCTGCTGCATTATGGATAGTAGCTCCTCAGGTGGAGGGGATCATGTTATACCTGGTACTATGAATACTAGTGGTAACAACCATAATGATCCTTATCATCAGGCAATGCATTGGTAGTGGATCGGACACTACCATTCACACAACTCGGGCAGTTCGGCAACGGGTTCATGAATCGTTTTGAGGCGTCGATGTGAGCAAGTGGAAGTAGCATGTTGGAAGGCTTGGTATTCGTCGCTATTCAGGATGGAGGGTTCACCAGTTTTACAGGGTGTATCATTTATCGATACACCCGGCATATTATCAGGGGAAAAACAGAGGCTGCAGAGGGGTTATGATTTTGAAGGTAATTCTAAACCCTATCTACACGCCGAGCACTTTGTATCCTCCTAGGTGTGGTAAACTGGTTTGCTGATAGAGTCGATATGATACTGCTACTATTCGATGCTCATAAACTGGATATATCTGATGAATTCCGTCGATGCATTCTAGCATGTGGTCAGAACGAGAATAAGATTAGGATTGTTCTTAATAAAAGCGATATGGTAATATTGGACCATCTATACTCTGCTTTCCTTCAGCGGACGATGCCACTGGAAGTGTATGCTTAGGTAACTACTCAGCAGCTTATGCGGGTGTATGGTGCCCTTATGTGGTCACTTGGTAAGGTTATCAATACTCCTGAGGTAGTGGTCATGGTCATTTGGCTTATCATTTTACACATTGTTCAGACATCAAGAGTCTTCATCGGGTCGTTCTGGGATGAGAAGTTGAATAATGATGAACAACGGAGCCTATTCGAGAAGGAAGAGTCGGACCTATATGCAGATATAGCCAAGTTACCCGAAGAGGCTGCTCTCAGGAAACTAAATGATCTAATAAAACGTGCAAGGTAGTGACCATACATAACCATACACCCAGGCATACATAGTGATGCACCAATAATGCAGATTAGCTAAGACCCATGCCTGTCTGATGACATATATTAAACACGAGATGCCCTCTATGTTTGGGAAGAATTCGAAGAAGCGTGAGCTCATTGATCATCTAGATATGGTGTATGAGCAAGTCTCCAAGAAGTAGTAGTACTAGTATAGAAGGATAGTATTATTAATCTCATGTTGATAACTAGATACAACCTTCCTATTGGTGACTTCCCTTCAGTGGATTATATGCGCAAAGAGTTAGCACATTACGATTTCAGTA